TATTCACATTATTCGGATTGTATTATATATTTTAGCTGCAGTCGTTAATAGTATGGATTCTGGTTAGTATAATATAAAGGATTGTACACACTATAGTTTTTCTTCTTGAATGTTACATTACATTTAGTATAATGTATCAAATGTATTGAGCTAGGTAATCAACACCATAATCATGCATATGCTTTACGTAATAAGCGGCACTCTCAGAAGCCCGGCTTACTAAATAAATGCTGTACGGTGTACCACACCTAATTTACACTAAACACTGTCTAAACTCTGCAGTATTCAATTATTAATGTCATTATGGTAATATCTCACTTGTAACTAGGCCTTGTATATAATATAAGTGTTTTATTATATCCTCTTAGCTATATAATGATTACTATAGCAATTAATACCCATACAAAAATCTAATTGTTAGTGGTTTTGTGTGTCTTGTCTCTATTACAAAATACTGACTGTCAAGTATTCTACAGATGATTTTTTTTTGTCCTAGAAAACTAGCATATTAAGAATCGCCTTTACAGCTACTTAGACTACAGAAAAACCTAATAAGTATGTAGCAGTAATTAAATCCATAAATAGTAGATGTAGAATAAGAAATATGTAGATGTAGTTGCCAAATGAGCGGTTCCTTGTTATAAAATTAAGTAGAACTTTTATGGGAAGAGAATAAAGTTATTATTTGATTTTAAACAATATTAATAATAGCTGAAAAACAAACCCTACTTTTTACGATTTTACTATTTATTCCAGATCTTTGACGTAGTCATATTTTCCCGTTCAGAGAAACTTCACAGTATATAAAAAGTACATATGCTTTATGTGAAAAACTCATCCACAGCTTTATATCATGTAAATGTACTTTTTAAATATCTAAACGGTTTAAATATGTATGACGCAATATTTATAGAACCAGTCTTCTTGAATACACGAAGTTTGCATTTGTCTGTTACCTAAATGTAAATGAGTGGGCATTGCGCAGATTAAAGCATCTTGCTCACGACCTATGGTGTTTTTATTTAATGGATTAAATTTAAAACAGTCTACATCAATTATAAAGTAAATAACTATGATATTGTATTTATTAAATATATGATATATTTATTACATTACTCAGAATCATGTCATGCTTAATGTATAATGTTTAGACTTTAGAGTAAAGCGGATACCGAGTTTGTCGAGTATTTTTTACACTTTATTTGTACAGTTTTAATGGAAATATTGTGTTTTTAGACGTTAATTGAATTAGCTGTTACATTCAGTAGCTTTAATCAACGTTCATTATTTCACACAACACTTATTCAACAAGTACAAAGCTTGCCACATCCGAAACTTGAAACCTGATTTTCAAATTATATAAAATGTTACTATTTAAATATCCTTAGCATATTTTCATAATTATAGTTTTGATATCGCAGTTGACAAGTTGTAAATGATTGTTAATTTAAAGGCGCCGTAATATTAATGACTTCTTAAAATCATTTATGTCCCCAAAAGCAATTTTAGCTACTGGATAATTATTGGTAATATCCGGCATGATATACAACTACTGAAACTATAATTTTAATGAATACCAAGAATATAGAGGAATTTATATTATATATATGTGTTAAATATTTATACATATATATACCCAGTTACCATAGGAGTAATAAACTTGGTAGTTTTTTCTTAAACATGTTACATTTAATCTGAATAGGAAATTTTATTTGCAAATACGACATACATTACGCGGATTTCCTTCAAACATCCACATCCTCTTAAATTCCCATCCGATTTAGAAACCTAGATTAATACAAAGATATATTTGCAATTCTAATACGTTCTCGCTTAGATTCATACTAAATATACCTGAGCTAACAAGAGGCAATTACGGATTTTCCTTCAATATTTACAAAAGATAATTCGTTGCACGGTAGCTAGGTATATTATCGTTATGTTAATGAGATTATCATATCTAAGATTTATTTAGCGGTGCGACCACGTCTAGAAGACTTATAGTATAATCATAATAATTATGATTATATTATATGCCATTAATTATATTGTATTATCATAAGCAGATAAAGGAATATAAAGGGTATTAAATTCTTTGTTCATAGTGACGTTTCATTCATTTTTTTCTATACTGTATAAAATTTTTGATACATAATACAAAATGTCTTCAAATTAATCATTTTATTAATTCGTTTGGCGGTTTAATGCTGTAGGATTTGGTACTGTATTGAACGATACAATTTTTCTTTTTATACATTATATTATTTTATAACATTAGTTTTATATAGCTATACCAATTGTTCTTTTATATGCGTCTCATATTACCAGCTACGGAAATTCATACTGCATCCTGCATGGATTTCGTCCTTGCAGATCGACGAACTTGCAAAAGAAAAAACCCGATCTGGTTTCGCCACTCGTGTACAGTTAGGTGAAGCATTAAGTAATCGGAGCTGCGATCATCGTGAATCGAGATAATGTTGAGCACGTGTGAAAAACATCCGAGAGTTTTTGTTGCGGTCGCGTTCCGCTTGAAGACTGGTATGCATGCTACTGTGGTTTGCCTCAAGCGACCTTGCCTCCTGATGCTGTGAAAGTAGGCGACTATAGCAACAAACGTCTCATCATTAGCTGTCCGAATTCAATAGGCTTTCTTTATATCGATATTTTGTTTCGAGATATTGATACAATTATCAGTAAACGATACTCACTAGGCGCGATCTTTTAAATCAACTACCTGAAAGCAAGAATTACACCTGAAAATGCTGAAGAATTAAATATTTATTTGAGTATATGAGCCGGTTAGTTTACGAATCAAGTGACCACTGACTTTTAGAATTTGGTTGCTTTATTTAAACAAAAATAAAACATAAAATCATTTCCCTTCATGAATATTAATAAATATAAGAAATGTTCAATGTCAATATAATCTAAGTTAAGTTAATAGTTGTAATAAATGTCAAATAAAATACAAAAACCGTGGGAGGCTATATATTATTTATCATTATATTATAATAAAATAATTAATAAAGTAACTTTACAACCACTAATATCGACTTTCAAAATCATTACGACGGTCACATAACAAAAAATAACAAACAAATAATCAAATTTTAATCACAGAACGAGGTCATGCAATACCAACTGAAGAACCTTAACTTTAAAAAAATGGAACAGTTGTCGTAAAAAAGTTATAAAAACAAATTAAAAGAACAAATTAAATTGTGTCGTAAAAATGCTGTTAACTTTGTACATAGGGATCCGTTTCCCTTGTGCTTCAAAAAAAATATTTCAAGAATCTCTCATAAGTTTATTGACTCTAAAATAATTTATGTTTCTAAGCATTACAGGCTAATACAATTTATATTTTACGTTTACCTTTTACGATTAATATTATATAAAAGATATTTTTCAAATCTGCATTAATGTTTCTTTTATTGAATTTTAATAGCTGTTATAATTGTATAGAAAAGAATTTGAGATTGATTTTAAAACAATATTTATAATTTCAAATCTTTGAGCTTTTCATGGTAAGAAGAGTCACTGTTTAATTCTCAGCAATTTATTATTTCAATGGCAGAAGTATAATGGCATATTCATCTGCAAATATCTGAAAGTAATATAAGTAATACAGATGTTGAAAGCCATATATTTTTTATAGTTTAAGGTTGTTACATTAAACCTTTTTTGTTATGAACGTACTATATTTATTTTTCCATATATTTTTTTTTTTTTTTTTTTTTTTTTTTTTTTATGTTATAGAAACGAACTGACGGCCCAATGGATGCCCATGGAGGCAATATGTCGTGTGATATTTTTCCTTTTAGGGATAGGGAAGGGTGGGAATAAGGAATATGGGAAAAGGGAAAGGGCAACCGGCTCTCTCATGTACGAAACGCAGTCATTTTACGCCGATCTTCTGTGATTGTTCGATCTGTATAACTTAACCACAGCTAGGCTCTATAAATAATTATATGTAACGACAAATGATAGTCGTGTGATTTATGTCGACAAATAATATGAATATGGAGTTTTAATTGATTTATCATTTATTGTATAACACATTGATAGTTATTTATGTCGACAAATAAATTAAAACATAAAAATTACTTTGGAATTCCCCGTTATTAATTATCACAATATATCATTTAGAAATTTACTAACACAAGTTTGCCCGGTAATAATTCATATATGAAAATTATAATATAAGCGATAACTAGAATTAAAGCCTCGTAAAATAATTTTCATACCCATTTCATGAGCGAGTTCAAATGACGTTGTAGGGTAATTAATTTTAAAATTAAGTCCTCGATGTTCTCAAGGGTATGATGGATCATTTTATTTTTTATTGTAAGTAAATAATATAACACTTAGTGGGCTGGTTATAAAGACTTAATTGCTCCAAATGACTGCCTAATTAAATAGAACCGGAGTTTCATTAGCGCGAACGAGTTAACTAGTTAATATTGTAGTCACGAAACCCATTGAGCACACGTGTGGAAAATAAGGCTTTCAACGAACTCTATAATGCCTTTAATCTTGATTATTTCGTTACTAAATGTTGTATAACTTTTTTTATACACATTAATTAATACTATATTATCGAGAGTAATTAAATAAGGTTAATAAAATTGGTGGTCAATTTATTATAGTTGTAGTCTTTTAAAGTTTAAAATTTTGTGTGTAACAATAAGGGTACTTATAAGAAATATAAACAAACAATTTGTAAATGACCTAATTTTATATATGGAGTTTGTATATCATTAACCTTTCCGAATGCAATTAGTATTAATGCTCTAATTTTTGTTACGTGCACTTTAATTTCTTTCTCACTTACATTCGGAATATTAATTTTCGATCAAGTATTATTCTTAAAATAACTGGAAATATTTTTGTCTGCTTATAAACTTGTGTGTTTTTTTTTATCAATAATTTATTATTATATATAAATATTTTGTATTTGTCCTCATCTAAACTTTTACCCACGATATGAAATAGCTATGACACAAGCGTTTCAGGTACGTTGTATTGTTTTATTCAATCGCTCGTCAAAATGTCATGTAATTAATTTTATCAATCGCTTGCTAAATGGGTTCGGGGAAGTTTTGCACTGTGTGCGCTAATGTTCCCATGTGGAAACAAAGCGAATTCCTTTGAATGCTTAGCACCGACTTCCCGGACACTGCGGTGGTCCTAGCACTTATTAATTACTTCTCATTACTCGATTTTATTTTGTTGTGTTTTGTATTGTGTTTTATATCAGCGGTATGGAAAAGCTTGTGGTTAGTACATTATTTTTATAATAAACGATATTGATATTTATTTTTCTTTCAAATTATATTGCACAGAAAGTACATATGTGTTTAATTTTGTAAATCACTGTTTCCACTTTTGTTGTTTTGCAAAGACGTGAATATATGATTTTTAAAGACTAATTTTGTTGTTCAATACTTATGTATGAATTATAATATTCTTCTTTAATTGATTCTTAAATAACAATTTTTTTATTAAAATGGGAGTAAGAAAAAATCGTATGCATTTTATTTTTTTTTAAAGCGTTGCTTTTTACATGTATCTTTTTATATTGTTGTTTAGATGAGGACAAATAAAATATATAAGAGATTCTAAAACTATATTAAAATAAACTGCATTTTTAAATGAGACGTTTTAGATTTAAAATTTTTTACAACGCTGCATTGTTAAAATATTAGGAATTTACTTAAAAAAATATATAATTATCACATACATAAAGTAGAAACTTATGTTTTTAAATCATCATCACTACAAATTAAATAATCCATTTAAAAATATATTTTCACATTCTTGAATAAAGATACTTAAAACAGTTAACTTTTTATTAACATACTTATACCAAGAAAAAAATCAAAAAATTACGCGTGAATGAAGCCATAGTATACGTAACAAAAATTATTCATGTTTTTTTTAATAATAAATTTGTAAAATTAATTAATAAAAATATTTTGCAAGACTTAATGTTATAAATTTGAAAAAATAATTATTGCCATCCCAATGTCGTCTTCACCTGATGCGAATATTCTAATTTGTTAGGAAAAAGTTTGTTAGTTCATCAATCAAATATTCTTATCAATAAAACCTTCTTCAAAACGCACCTCGCACCGTCGATTTTTACCATCGCAGAAGTTTTTTTAAGCAGGGACTTACGATATCATTAAGATAGCAATAAAATCGAGAGAACATGTATATTGAAGGGAATTACGTTAATAGTCGGACATATTGTGTATATAAAATAATTATCTTTTTAATCCAGAGAAATCAAGATATAAAATGATTGATTGAGATTTATATACTGATCACATGCGTCTATACATTGAGAATATGTTAAGTTATAAAATATTATCAAGTTGTTAAAAACAATATGGATATGTACTCAAAATTTTTTTTGTCGCAACTTTACACACATAAACAAGTTTTTGTATTGGCTATTGTGAGATCAATATTATCAACGACAATTTAATGATTAAAAAATGAAGAAATGCTCACAGGATGTAGCTGCTAATAGCTAACTTAGACACAGAGGAATAAAAAAAAAGAAAACATTTTAGTTCTTTCCTTTGACAACAATTCGAATACAATTTTTATGGTCATGAAGTAAAAAATATATATATATAAAAAATTGCATCCTGGATGAATTCTTAGATTCATATCTGATTTTTTTTTAAATATTTAATGTATCTACTCAGCGAAGCTTAAATTTGGTGCCATAATATAAATATTTCTCGTCCAACAAAAAGAATCAACTAAGCAAACCATTACGCTTTTTTTTTTGTTTGCAAAAATCTAAAACGCATTACAGAGGAGGATCTAAAACCGGAACCAATTTAATTGCGAAAATCCATTTCTATGATTAAGTACGTAAATAAATTAAATTAAAAAGTCAATTTGGAAATAAGTGAGCTATAATTTGATTAATTTCATGTTACCTATACTGATATTTCTTATATTCTGAGTACTGTTTCGTTCGATGTAATAATAATAAATAAATACTATATGTGCGACTACGTGGGGTCAATGTTTGTTTGCAAAGCCGCAAAAAAAAAAAGGTACGTTAAGGACGAATGTTCTATGAAGCAATGTTTCAATATATTCGGGGTCATCAGTTCTAGTAACATTTAGTTATTTAGAAACACGTTTTTGTATAACAACATCAAAGTTATCAATTAATTAAAATTGTTATATTAGTGATAATTAAATAAGTAATCAAATGGCATTGGTTACGCTTTTTATTGCATACCACATCATAGATTCGAATCACGTTGTAAAAGTATGATATAGAAAATAGTAGCGAATTAACTATATATTTTCGTCATTGCCCTCTTGATACTACGACTTGCTCTCACTAATTAAATTAAAAAAAAACATTTTTTAATACCAAAGAGGTTTCTAAACTTTTTAAAATTATATATCACTGAAACGTCATGTGACAATCGTTCATGGCCACATGAACACGGATATAAAAAGAACTATTAATATGGAGTCAATATTTAAAAGGACTATTAAATTATTTCATGGTTATGGCAATACATTTATAATTTGTATCATTCAAATATATATTCCAGATGAATAATTTAACTGCAGCACAATATGAATGACGAAAAAGCCTTACAGCCAACGTATCTCGTATACGTTGTGATCTCGTAACAGCGTAAATAGTATTCACGTTCCTAACAATGGCTTATACGTCAGTGGTACCGTAATGCATATAACAGTGTCTGCGTAAGAACTTATTCATGGTTTGACATTATTATGCAAATTTATATCATAAATACATAACAATTAAATTGATTTTTAATTACATTTATTTCTTGTATAAAGGGATGAATATTTAGGGTTTTGCAGGCATTTTACCTGTGACATTTATTTTTGTAAGAATTATGACATAATTAAAAATATTTGCATAGCTGTCAACGTACGATCAATCATCGACATGCAGCTAGTATAGGTTGCCATCAAAAAATATTCGCGATAAATAATATACTGATTAACCGATAAATATGAGGTGACTGACCTGTAAATTATTTAATAAAATTATTATGTTTACGTCAACTCTAGTATGTTAAGTAATCATTCTTTATATGAGACAATTTAATAACCAATTACTGTATTGAAAATGTAGATAGTTTATGATATTAATAATACTTTGTTTTAAGAAATAGAGGAACATATAAAACCTTTTTATTTCTTTCATATCTCAGTTTTTAATTTGTACCATAAATAAGTGGGTACTTACAGTATGCAGTTTGACCAAATGTCAAAAGAGTTATTAAAATAAAGTATGAAGACATTATGGTCATTATACGATTGTTTAATCTTTATATTTAACTATTGATTAAATAAGAATAACATTAAATGTACATCACCATGATTCATCATTTATTTCAATTCTGTGTGAGATGTCAAGGCATTTAATATGATTTCGAAATGGTAAGATCTCAACAGGATCAATTAACCTTCTCACTACTGTACTTCAAATGATTATATTTTAGATGTAGATTAATATGTGTATATTTTTTCTAGTAATCAGTGTAGGGCCAGAGGCTAGTAGTCTACTTCTTAGAGAAAGCGAGTCGTTGCAAGACAATACATAAAATTAATAATAGTATAAAGTTTAAGTAGAATATAGGGTACAAAAAGTATTCAGAGTTTCTTAATAAACTGATTGTAATTATATTCTTAAGCAATTTACTTCTATAAAAATTAAAAAACAATTCACGAATATTTCATAGGTTATGTATATAAGACGATTTTAAATAGACAAACTATTTCTGGCTAGCAACTATAACATGGCCTTACATCGTACAAAACACTACACTACATTACATTTGTTTTATATAAATAAACAGATAAGGTATATGTCCGGAGTGTTCTGGTGAGGGTGTTTGGTATTCCGAGAGCATGGTGAGAGGAGTGAGTGTGGTCATGAGCTAATAATACGTAAGTAGAGTGCTTACGTTAGTGACGTTTCAGGTGCGTGGGAGTGGAGTGGCGCGGGGGGGTGATGCGAGGGGCGCGGGGGGTGGTGCGCCGGCGCCGGTAGCACCGACCATGCTGGCTCCGAGCGTCCTCGCCGCCTGCCTGATACTGCTCGCGTTACCAGCCATCACGCTGGCGAACCCGCCCAACGGCATCAGTTAGTAATACATTATTATAATAAAGACGAAACGGCAAGTTAAATGCTGATAATTATATATATTACGATTTGATTGGGATTGTTTTTATGATGATTTTTTTATGATTAAATTTGTGAAAACGGGTTGTGGCGGGATCGGAGAAACGCCTGCGCCTTGATGGGTATATTCATGTGTAGCGTCTTTATAAATAAAATATGTTTAGAATGCAACCATCAAATTCTTTTAATGACATTTGATTGCTAATACATATAAGAAAATGATTTTTCAGTTGTCAAATAAAAATGTATTCAATTAACGTATATATTTTCCTTAGTTTCAAATGAAGCTCAGGACTTCGATTTAACAATTTACCTCTCATTACTGAGAAATTGAGAAACGATACATATATTAATATCTGTTATGAGGAAAAAATCATATCTCAACTCACATTGGTTATGATATATTAATTTCAGGAATTCGATCATATCAATCAATATTTTAAGTAGAATTTGGATTTAGATGACTTTGTATTATGATCTTATATTTTATCCACATCCGTAAACATCTAGAGTTACAATGTATTATACAAAATCGTATAAGATTATCTGAATAATCGCATATATACGTATGTTTCCACGTTTATAATCCGATTATCAATAACAGTTGCAATGTAAATTCGACTAGCGTAATTTAGGTGATTTTTGTTAGTTTTGTTCATTACAGATACGTATATAGTTGTAAATAGTATTAGAATTATTTCATAGATTTAAAGATATGCGACACGCAAGCTGACGAAATTGTTCTCTAGTACCTAATTCATACGATCTTGTGCTTGTAATTACTAAGCCCACGGCTTCCGGAGTTACTTTGCTGTTAAGTTGTAAATTATTGCAAAATTATTGGATTGCGTTTAATTTGAACAAAGAAGTAATATATCAAATGGGACAGGCGTTAGTCATGGTGGTATATCCTTGGGTGGGTCTAATTTTAATTTATTAAGATAGAAAGTTAAATAGATAAGTTTGTTAATTTATTTTATCAATGTATAGAATCAAATCTAGTCTTAAGTCTGGTCTTGATGATAAAGTTTCATGATAAAGATTTGACTAGACGAAGTACGTTTATTAATCTTTTTAATAACTTATCGAATAATAGATAATAGATAAATAATCGGTACATTTAATATATTTACGTCAAACGTATCTAAAAAATATCATATAAGTTCAATGTACAAACATTCCTCGGGTCTCAAATAGAATATAATGTATACAATAATTGTGACCAAAGCGTTATCGTGGCAAAAAATTATTGCTGTTTAAATATATATATGAAGTTCAAAAGTCGTTTAATGTTATATTTAGATCTGTCTCTGTTAGAATTATTAAACGCGCACTTGTTTAAGATAGAAATGCTCTCTAACAAATACCGGTTGCCGAGGCGCATAGTTAAGTATATTGCGCAACACCTCTTCGTCATATCTACAGTTCCGTTTCGTGCTAAATTTTCAGATACTTTTTTAATCAAATAACAATTGTATGATTCTATAGAATTGGTCATCTATATAACGTTAAAAAGTGTGTCATGTGACTTATCAAGATTTAAATGTGTTACTCTTAAAATAATCTCATCGTTGGTCTCAAATAAAATAATATACCTACCAGGAACACTTATTGCGTTACAGTGTGATACAGAAATTACTCAATAGTATTTCCGTTAGCTGTTATTAAAAAAATATTCCTATAATACATGTAAATTTCTATTTCCTTGATTCGCAACAATTTGGCAATTTGTTATTAATATATTCGTCAGCCTTGAAAACCGCTTGTTGCCATGAGACAGGAGTTACGACTGTTATGAAATGTAAATAAAACATGATCAAGAATCGTAATAATTTCGAGTAAAATGCTAAACTTTTGATAGATGAGATTTGTTAGCAAAATAAATTATATCTTATTAATTCTAATTGCTTACATCACTTAATAAAATATAAAATAATAAAAAAAAAAACTCCTTGGATAACAGCGTTAGCACGAATTGAGACGGGATTATTAATATTCGGTGAATATTTCGCATACTGTTAGTCTGCGGAATGTTTTCGTATGTGGCTAGCACACATTAATTACCAAAATATTTACGCAGGACTTAGTAACCGGTGGCGTCGATGCTTTGGTACACGTAATAAGAATGCGGATCCGTGGCTTTAATCAAGGTAAATCAACCGGCTGGGACAGCTACCACGCCGGCGTCGGTATCATCTCCGCGAACTATTGGGCGCCATATTGCATTAAACAGGCAATTAACGGCTTGTGTTCTAAATTAAAAACACACTATCAAATTTTCGTTATACTGATATTCTGAGCGTGGACGATTAGGCGAGAGTAATATAGATTAAATATTTATGAATTATAATAAAGTAATAATGTTATTTGTTATATTATTTGCTTGAATAAATTTGCTTGTATTTTTTTAGAGGGTGAGCGTGCACCGTGCTCCAACGAAGGTGAATCAGTAAGTCTCCAGGACGCAAGACTCGACCAGGATTGGAGCACCTGCTTCCGCTGCGTGTGTAAGGTATGTAAAAGGAATTCCAGTACATATATTAAAATAAAAAGATTTATGTAGACATATATAATAATCTTCTAATTCATGATTTCCAAGAACGTCGCTAATTGTAGATCACGATACATATGTTATTAATATTAATGTATTTTTTTTTAAATTTTTTTTAAGTTGATTATTTAAATTCTCCCCGTGTAAAAATTCTATTATGAAGAAATATTATGTTAATACTGTCAATGTATATTTTATACGATGATTATCTGTTAGTATGTCTGGAAGTTTGGTATGCTTACCCACAGACAGCTGTCACTAAATAAATTTATCACGCACCTAGATTAGAATAATAATTGCTACTCATACGTGCGGCATGCTTATATCTAAACAATAACGAGTAATTTCATTGGTAATATGATTATTCTACGAAAAAAATGCTTTTACACACACCTTTACTTAATATGAGAATATATTTTAGTATTTATTCAACTAATTGGTGTCTCCTAATGTCATCTTAACAACGCCATTAAGAAATTAAGCTCTATTTTGCTGCAAAAATATATTTACTCCATTCGATTTCTGCGTATTATTCAAGCTAGTATGATAAAAACATCAAATAAATATTTGTATCGTAAATTGACTTAAGAGGCAAGTGTCGTCGTAGTTAGTATTCTCTTTTCAATTTCATGTTTCATCTTCTAACCAGCCCTCAAACCCTAACTAATTTGATACCTCATTTAATAGAAGATACTTTTTGATCAAATGGGATCAAATTCATGAAAGTTTTGCTATTAAGTGAAATAGAATATTTAAATGAACAGTTATGCATTAAAGAAATATGTATTATAATTTTGTATTTCATTGAAAATATACTTACTAACATTGTTTTTTGTTGACTGTCTTAATTGTAGTCGCTTGTTACTTCACTCGTTTACTCATATATAGTCACAATAATTGTAACAATGTATACAAATAATAATCGCAGATTTAATTTTAATGTCATATAATAGATATAATTTAATATTTATCAGAAAAATTTAATTGTTTTAATATATGACTTCAAAGTATAGTTAAACAAACCTTCATAGTTTTGTTGGCACTTGAATGAATTCTTGTTAAATCCTTTTTTGAAAAGCCAAACCTAAATTAAATCATTATATGTATACAAATTAAAATGCAACCCTCAAGAGAATTGCTGAAATAAAGATAATGTAATCCTTCTGAGACAAATATCGCATATAAAGATGTAAAAAAAACGAATTATGTTGCTACAGAAAGTAATTAAATTAAAATTACATAATTTTATTAAGATTAAAGCAATCCTTCGCACAGCAATAACGGTACAAGAGCACGGATGTGAAAGTATGGCCAAGACATAAACATGACGAAATTATGTAGTGATAGTGATTGTTCGTTTGTAAGCCATGATTATGCGCAGGTCCCATAGATAATTATAGAAGACAGAAAAACACTATATACATACGACTATGTATCATCCATCAGTGATATTCAATTGGAGACTTTTGCAATATAATTGAAGGTCCATATCCGTATTGGTTACTCTGTTTCGGTATGTGTACTAGTCGTAAAAATGATATAACGTTATCACGGCATAGTTGGCACGTCTGACACGCCATCAGTATGTATGTAAGTAAGGTTGTACACCTTGGTACGCATATGTGTGTGGTATTTCCCAGCCGATCTCACCTCGTCGGATGACTTGCGCGGAATTCGAAAGCCCATCGCGAGATTTATCGCTTATTCTGTATTAAAATATACATTTGCTTACCTAATGATCTTTTTGTCGCGTGCCACATAACCGCAGGATCATATCCTGAGCGACATTCTTTGGAACAGAAATATTAATAGGATATACATATTTCATTAAGATTTAATTAGTATTTTTTGGTTATCACCCGTTATTTCAAACTGGCTGCCCAGATTGTTGGAGTCAGTTTGACCCGAGGGTGCCATTAGCCTTTTTATTCGACACAGCTCAGTAGCGATTGATAGCATCTCACTGCTACCGCGCACCGCCGTATTTAATGATCGGTGTCAATTATCGAAGCAAAGATGAAACTTTCCGTGGTAATTTTTTAAATGCAATTATTACTGTTTAAAAAAGTATGTTTTAATGAATGCAAAATAGAAAAGTCCTATGGAAACTAACAAAAATAGACGCATGTTATTGTGCCTTCATGCAATATGATAATCTATTGACATTTTGTGTAAGAACAGTAAATGTCTTGTGAATAATATAACGTTACGAGGTCTTATTTTTATCTTGGCCGTTCAGGCTATTAATATCTCATAAATTGTACTTTATAGTTACAAGAAAATTGCTGGGTCAAGTACCTCTAATGGTCGCACTGGCTCTGACTTGCAACAAGGAATCTGAGAGGTACTTACCATGCTACATGAAATACGAATATTTTAAGCAACAGCACAATATGCTGCACAATATACAAGCTGGTATTCTTATTCGCACATACCAAATGTATTATTTTACTTTCTGCTTCAAAACTTTTCCCTTTAATCTGTATATTATTGAAAGTATTATAATAATAAAAACTACTGTTAAAAGTATTAACTATTGGGTTATAAATTATACATACATATATAGGTTTACAAATCACTAAAAAGGAGCTTATAGCATCGTTTTGTAGTGTATAGCTAGCTACTCGTGGTATAGGTATATACTATAGGTATGATATAGCAACTTCGTGATAAACTTGATGGCAAGTACGAATTTGATGGTAGTATTTCGAGTGGTGCCATCTTGCCGGTGGTCGGTGGTGTGAAAGTGGGTGATTGGAGAGCACAGGTGCCGGCGAGGCCTTGCCGCGAGCGCGCGCATGGTATGCGGTCGCACCGGTTCTTCTAGCATGTATTTTTTACTTGCCACACATAAAACATATTATTGTTATGTTTTGCTATGATGCAAAAACCTTTTATCTAATTATTATTAGCATATTTTTGGTAAAGGCCGAATACTGTGACACGAAACGCATTACTATGTATCTACTGCCGCGGATATTTAGCTGTAAATTCATTCGTTTTTAGTTAGTCTTTCGTTTCGTTACATCCGCATGGCAATAGGCCGAAGTTTTGCGGATTTGTTGTTATACTTTTATATTATAATTCCTTTTTTCAATGTGAACTTAAAACTTAGTGTACCTTTAAACTCCACTATAGCAAAATATGTATAAGCGAGACTTATAATAGGTATTCCAACTGCAATATTGATATGACGAAATTCCAATGAAGAATGAATATACGAAGGTGTAATCTAATTATTCGTGAGTCTGAAACGGATATAGAAGAGAAGAAGTCCGTGTTATCGATAGCTCCACAGCCTGTTAACGCCGCCCACAATACAATCGACCTTGCCCATGATCGTTTGCCTAGATATAATTACATTAGGATACATCCATTTAATAGCAAATAATTACAACAACAAGCCACTTATATTTTATATACGTGTAGCTTTTGAAATTACATATTTACTTCTCAGTCGTCGCATTATGATTAGTGACTGTATATACTCTGTCAAATACGTGTGAAAATCCTATACTTCTAACAAACACAATTTTAAGTTTCATTTATTTAGGTAAGTTGTACCCATAGATTATTGCAATAGATATCTTGTAAAACTGGTGGAAGTATAGATATTTAAGAATATAATTATTGTAGAATTTATTTGTGTTTTCAGATTGTTATGCGGATTCATAGAAATAGTATTAATAATCATATAAATGATAATTCATTTTATTACTTTATCAACGCAACCTTCCGTTAGTTATTAAACGATGATAGTTGCGTTATAATAATGATTATTATAATTAGCTACATCTGCCCTTTGTTCCTATAATTACCATGTTATATTTTCAAACGTATTTATTGAGACATAAATATTAACTATATATGTATAAATGTATCATAAATAACGAGTATCGCAGCGTTTTATTGTTTTAGGTATTATGTTTATAACTCGAAAGCATCTAGGTGAAGTTATACTGCAATCAAACTTTCCTCAATAAAATCCAACGACTACACATAAAATTTTATTGTGCCACAAAATTAAAAACAAAATCGGATATCGGTGGACGGTAGATCGAAATAGTGTAATTTATTTGGTATTCGGAATCAAGTGGTGTAATAGAGCGGTCACCTCATACAGAATGCGAACTGATGTCCCCGAGCAGTCTGTGCTTTGCGCGAATCTATTATGTAAATTAGGAGATAAAGCACATTTAAAAACGAATATTATGTTAACGTCCACGATTTATACGCATGGAAGTGTTAAGCTGGTAACGTTTATTAAATATTTATAATACGCCTCTAAGCTCTGTGGGATCACATTCGTACTTGCTCATCGAACACAAATTGATGACGAAGATTTATATTTATCAAAGGCTTAATTGTAATTGCTGTATATAAATATCACATTTTTATAAGTTCTATTCGAAATTTTTATTTCTAATCTTTAATATTAATACTTCTTAATAAAAAGAATGAATATTAAGATATATTAATGAATGGATGTCAAAATAAAATAAGTCGATAAAAATAAATGTTTTAGGAAGAGAGAAGGACATGATATTGCGTAAAATATAGGAAGTCTGGAATTTCGGGACGAGTTATCAATACTACAGGAAATGAGTAACGGTCGCCGATTTTGTCACATTCAGATTAAAATTTCTTCATCATATATATAAAAATAGTATACAAATATAATACTTAAACATGACGAATGATTTAATTGCAACGTAATAACTTTTGATATGAAATTTGTATTACTTTTATGACTAGTTGAAAATTCTATAAACATTACGTGGTCTATCTCGATGCGTTTATCGTTTATTATCTGTTGTGAGAGAAACAATAAAAATAGTTTGATTTGTTCAGCGAACAAATAAAGGAATGAAAAGAATGTATTCAATTAGTTTTGTCTTCCAAGAAACGTCAATATTTTTACATTTAATTGCAATACTCGCTGAATGATTGTTGTTTGCTCGTAAAGAATATTTTTTTTAATGAGTTGCTTAGTTTTGTAATCCTACTACAGATTTATTACTGACTTATGTATACGATATCAAAGGTAAATACTAATGCTAAAGAACTTAAATAATATTTAAAATGAGAATTTATAACTTGAATTACTTCGAAGTTTGTTAGTTAAGAACTATTAAGATTTTAATGAATACGTAGAAAAATTTATTTAAAAAAAAAAATACCACATAGATTTAATTCATGTTCTGAATTTCAAAGGAGAAGGTAAAACAAGCTCGTATTACAAGAACAGATTTTTTTTCACACTTTGTAATTAATTATTAAGGTAGAAAATAGTTTTAGAACATATAATATTATATAATCAGTGACCAAAATATAAAAAAGAACATAAAAAAAAGAATTACAAGTTCTAATGACATGCATAAGATTTAGACTCAATTATTTTTGGAAATAAATATTTAAATTATTAAAAATGAATATATTTTGCCTGTTATCTATCAGCTTGTGTCACCGTCTTTAGAATTTCAATTATCATAATTCTTCAGAGATAGAAACGTCATCTTAATTTGTAACATTACAGATAAAGCGATCCAGTCAAAGGTGACAAGTAAATTGAAAATAACTGCATAATATTCTTCAACAGTGTTGATTAAATATCGTTTAGGTATAGGTATGTAACGTCAAATCATTTTTTATTTTATATAATGTATGGTCATACAAAGCAATTAAATTGATCATTGTAATAAAATTATAATGTTCAAATTGATCGGTTAATTTTCCAAGAATAAAACCGATGTTTAATGAAAATAACGGTTTTGAATATAAACCTTTAGACATTTTACTTCTAAATTCATCGATTTATATTATATCGATAAAAAGTAATTTGAAAATGATATTTTAAATTAAAATTTAATTTCTATAAACGCTTTTAATAATTCAAGTATTTTATTTTTATTATAATACTTTTGTTATTATTACAAAAATGTTGTTAATACCTGTTTATTAGTCTGTGCTGTTAAATATACCATCAAGGTTTTCATACAAGAGAACACGTGTTTCTTGTATATATACAATTGTTTATTATTAATTAACTCTGAAGTGAAATACAGATTTATTAAACAGTATCTTAGAAGAGGAATTCTTTGCCGTCTGATGATTTAGATGTATAACTTTATTAATATAATAAGAAAACATATTTTTGAAAGGAATTGGAGATAAAATATTATGGATGAGAACGATTATTACTACTACTTAGTAGTATGTAGTAGTAGTAGTAAAAGTACTTAGGGTACTATTACTAAGGCTACTACCAGAGTTTCTGAAAGAGATTGCGATTTAGCAATAAGATCGCCTTTTGTTTACCTCAGTATAGATTTTTCTTATTTATTATTTCTTTATTATGTGCCAATAAAGACTTAAATAAATAAATATAGTAATTTAATTTAATGGATGTATCTTAAACAAAGAAAAAAAAAACTATTGTGAATAATGCAATGGTTTTCCTTAATTTAAAAGATGTTTAAATAAAGTAAATTTATTTACTTATTTTTAATACAATAATATTTATTATCGTTATTATTTCTTCATGCAACGTGGATTGATCATTGAAATATTACTATAATTGACTATGTCACGGCTTTAACAATTCTAAGCTATAGATCTATTGGAACCGACCTAGCTTAATTTGGTAAAGACAAATGCGACGGTTGTTCATACTTTATATAAAAGCAAAACAAATAAAATGTTTTATTTTCAAACAATAGAATACATAACGGGAAGCCAAGTCTCTTCGGAGGCTTAAAGGTTCTATGTAGAACGCCTGTGACTATTGAACGGGCGACAATGTGAATTCCTTGATGTTGTATGGATTCAAATAAAAGTACTCCGTTCTATAGAGATGGAGAGAAAATTAATACCAACAAAAATGTACCGAAATTATAAACTTTTCAAGATCTCATAAAGTCCTTATGTATATTTTAATACGTTTCTATGTTTACATAACTCTAAACACTGATATAATCTCCTTAACACGGTTATTCTATTTCAACCACAATATTTATCTTCTTGTAAATTTCTATTACATACGAGGTTAGATGCCCACCTTTATGTTTATTGTTTTTCATTACTTTAACCGAATTTTTAAAGCGGCTCTTTGAAGTGAACATCTAATAGAGAAATATTTACGTTAGCTAAAAATAAATGTAGTTAAGTCTGTCGACTGGCTATTATTTATTATAATGTAGCGCACATAAAAGTGAGCAGACCCGAACTCATTTAATAAAACACTAGAGGTGTGTCTACACTAAGACAGTAAGTACGAAGTACCGCTAGCACCATATAGAACTCGGAATCTATTACGAGTCTTTATTTACATATTATTATAATAAAAACAATATACAACTTTTTGGCATTTTATTCATGAAAAGTAGGCTTATTTAATTTAATATAATTCCAAGAGAGTACGTTAGTAATGGAGTTTTAAAGCGATATCATAAAGTTCGCTCTCATTCTGAGGCCAGACACGCGAATATGTAGAAGCCAGACTAAATAAATTAAACCATCCGTTTATGGTGTGTTTAAGGGAATACGTCATAGAGTCACGTACTTTGTTACCAAGTGGCCAGCCCCATGAAGCCAACATACAAATTAGGCACTATGTTTGGTGCTAAAATGTTTCCGATAGTGTACAGATCTGTGTCAATATTAAATACTAATATTAATCATGTTTGACGACGGAGATGTTTTTAACAAATTTCCGTCCTTCAAATATTAAATAATCGTTTTCGTGACAATAATATACTTTGGCATCAAATATTTGAACTATAATAATATTCATTATACATATTTTAAATATTATGTTTGTCTATATTTATTTAGTATTTTTAAGTTGAAAATATTAAATAACATAGCTTTATGGATAACGTTATGATTTATTAAATTGCGATAGTTATTTCGATATTGAGATTGTTAAAATTATTATTACAATATGTCATACAAGATGAGAATATATTAAATGTATATTAGACATGTAATTTTATTATACTGTCCTTACCGACCGTAAATAGCGATAACTCTATCAACGTATGGCATTTCATTTCGCTAATTAGGTGGCTAGTGAAATATTGATCTGCAAACAAATTGAGATTGTCCGTATAAGATAAAAGGAACAAAATATCTCACTGACAACTCAAATCTTCCTATTACTATTAATAATAATAAACAAGAAAAAAAAAGTGACATTATTAAAAATAATTACAAGGAATTGATAGGTCGAAAAGTGCTATTATAAAGTCATAATTATTGCTTTGCTACCTACTTAAAAATGTTTTATCCAAATAAAAATATAACAGTCTTTGAATTATTATTTTATTATACATTAGCGACTCGTTCTATTACAAAAGTAAACAAGGAAAAATAAAATACATCAAAAATATTTCCGGGTCGTATTTAATATTAACTATTGAATAAATACACTATCGTTCACATACATTCATTTTTTTTTTATTAATAAGTGATTATTTATTACTAGGTCTACTATCAGTAATGGAAGTCCATGATTGAGTGATGATGTTGAAATGATTATTATCCAAGTCGTATTGTCTTTTATTAAATGTTCACAATATTTGCAAACTAATGAGGAAGATAAAAATATATGAAATAATTACGTACATACATACACGTCTATACCTAGTACAGTTTTAAGATGGAACTGTATTTTAGATAAGATGAATCTAGGTGAATCATAAACGTATTTAATTTTGTTTCTTCATCTTTTACAGAACGGGTTTGTGGACTGCTTTAAGGGTGCAGAGAAGTGCGGTTTGATGGAAGACTGCGCTGTCATCATGCCTCGTGAAGGTTGCTGTGCAAGATGTAAGGGTTGTTGGTACAATGGAACGGAGCACGCATCGCACACTGAGTGGAACGAAGATGGAAAATTGCTTCGCTGCGAGGCAGGCGTGGTCACCATCTCACGACCAGAGTGCTACGCGCCCTGTGATAATCCGAAGCATCAGAGGCATACTCATTACAACTGCCCAGTTTGTGAAGGTATTTATAATCCGATTGTATAAAATTAAAAAAAAGGTATAGAATTTATCGATTACCTAATTTTGTATTATTTCAAATATGCAACGATAATATTGAACATATTTTTGCTTACTCAGGACATCGATTAGTGAAATACTTATCATAATAATCAATAGTTTTTCTTATGTATATATATATATTTTGCAACAAAAAGCACGTAACACCGGCACTTTGATTGAACTTTGTTTATTGCTATTTATACACGAAGTAATAAAATGTCTGAAAGAGTAATAAATACAAATAAAGTAACTTAAAAGAATGCTCCCCCTATTTCACGCTGCGTTTTTCCACTGTGATTGAGGATATATTCAACGAATAACGTATATAATTGCTCCGGCGCTGGCGCAGCCTTGTCTCGGAGAGCGCCCACCCAGACGGACACGCCGCAAAAAAACCCTATAATCCCATTCAAAAACAAACACAAGCCGACAGGCAAACTTAATAAAACCAAAAAGCCAAGCAATTTACGTCCGCTTCCAAACTAACAAGTTTATTAATTCAAAATCAAATAATAATAATTTTTGAGATGACGGCACAAAATTGCTTTTTGAAAATAGCCGACACATTCCAAACTATCATTTTATTGCCTGTATATTTTATTCATTAACCAATGGTAAAGAATATCTAAGGGTTTCTTGGACATTGGGCTGATGAATTATTAAATAATTTCATGAACTTTTTGTATGTAACAAAACACTGAGCGCCAATTGTATTAAGGTACGGTATTTAATTAAAGGTACACGTGCGTTATGGCCAGTTTTTTTGTTGTTTATTTTTTACATCATCTTGATTTATTTCTTGATGCATTGCGTTATATATTCGTAAGCCTTAAGATAAAGCTTTGTTCCGAGGTGGCCGCGATTCGCCCACACGCCGTTGACAATAGCATAACACAAAACATTGCGCAGTAGCGTAACGTACTCTCAGACAATGGTAAAGTCGACCATAATAAAACAACCGGCTCAACCATACATATTGCTGTCATGACTATTATCGGCCACCAAAATGAACTATTTATAACAGCAAAAAGACTTTGTACATATTTGTATTTGATACGATATGTGTTTAGAATCAATTGTTGCTTCTGATTATATTTATGTCCACCATGTCTCTCTGACGATGTGTTAATATTCATGTGGTGTTTTATAGTATTGTAACAGCTACTGTAGTTCATTATCTTACTGCCCTTGAGAAAAAACGATGTCTCTGACAAATTCGCATTTTTCATGTAACAGTCATCGACTCTGGAATGCATTTCTTGTTAAAATAAAAAAATTAGATCTCAAAAGTTTTGTTTACAGAAATTCTTTAAAGTATGTAGTTATTTTAATTTTATATTAAAATATGACAGCTAAAATTATGATGATCACGTATGTAAAATAGGAGTGACGACGTCGAGTTGCCAAAACTAGCTCATTTATATATATGTCTACTTTTATCTATGTATATTAAAGAATTAAGGCATACATTTGCACATAATATACTTATCCATTTTATATATAGGGAATCATTTCTTTTCTAACTAAATAAGTCTTAATATTTGAATCTCCGACCACAAACACAATTGTTATAAGGACCACCCAACAGAATTCGCTCATCGCGGCGATTGGGAGATGTATCTTCATACTAAGCACGTAAGACAAAAGGAATGATTTCCTACCTATGTCCTAACAAAATAACATCTCATTATGTTCACGGGGGTTCGTAAAAATTATATATATTTGTAATGGTCGGAAAGTCTCCCACGGCGTTTGCGTCTCTATTATTGACCATAAATCAAAAAGTTAACAACCTACTTAAAAGGTTGAGTCGGTTGGTTTTTGTGTGGCTCAAAGCGACCGACGTCTGGCTGGCTGGCGGGAACCGAGGTGTGCCCAGTCCATGTTTGTTTTACGGTCCCAACGGTGCATTAAGCTTTTTGCTTCTTTTATGTCTCATTCGTTCACGATTACAGCCTTATCAGAGTCCCCTTTTTTGTTTTGGGACCGAGCGAAAATGCATTATGAACACAAATGGATTTCTAGCTTTATTAAATGTCATCCACGTATATATTTGTATCTGTTTTTAAAAGATAACAATTTATTTAAAAGTTTTACAGACATTTTGTATTTTATGATATTAATAAATAATATACCGAGTAATTATATGTAATACAAGTAATGTTTCCATTGCTTTGTGTAAATTGTAAATTTTTCCAAGTATATGATGCTATATATTTTCTTATTGAATAAATATATTTGTCGGTTCTCTTTGTTCTTATTACTTGATACGTTATTGCATGATGGTATGCGTAAAATTCTTTTGTTTTATCAATTTTTAAATACCAATATACTTACGAACACATCAAAATTCTGAGCAGAATAAGATAAAGAATACCTACAGGTATTTTTTCTATGTCATTGTTGAAAATTCAAAAGCTCACAATTCCATTTCAACATAAACAAAAGCTTACTCATCTAAATTCTTCCAACGTTTCAAGTGCTATCGTTATTATTGGCCATGTCTGCGACGGCTGGAGAAATTAAAATAATTAGCTTGTGATATACGCTGGATACGTGTAATGCATATTTCATGGGTGTTACATAAGTATAGCAAACAACGCCATAAGTACACACATTGTATTATATTTTACAATGAATATCTCCCCAACACCAGGTTACAAACCGATTGTCATTTCGTTTATGGATTGCACGTTGTGTTCAATTAACTTATTGCGTATTTTAAATTGCACTCGTATATTCATGACACAAAATAAAAATGTATTTTGTTTCATTCATGATTTCGGCTTTACCATTAACAAGCGATACGTGAGATAAATTAATGCATACGTTTTAAGTATAGACTTCATGCTTTATGTATTGAACGTAAGAGGCATCTACAAAAGAATCGTCAGTTTGTCAGTCAGATGCAGCTTGTCGTTTTTGTTCGGAGTTTGAGTGCTGTATTGCCACAATCATATTATTTAGTGATGTTGCTCGTAAGCATTAAGTGTATGACTACACACTTTTAACCGATGAACTACAGTAATGACCATTTTCTTATACAAAAAACGAAAAGTGTTTATTACTGATACAATAAAACTTGTGTATTATAAAGATAAATAAAAATGTTACCTACTTTCAAAGATATTATCATAGGATTGTTGAGCAAACGTATATGGTCTAAGTAATAAAGTAGTCATTGCGGAGATAAGGAGCGTGATCGACGGTCATGTTGTGGTGCACTTCGTGTGCGGTTGTGACTTCAACTCATTTATTACGATTTGATTGATTCATCGCTCGGTTGCATTAATTTATGGAACTTGCGTTTTGTCGTTTCTAAAGAAGGAAGATTCTGTCTCGTTGCTGTATCAACAAAGATAATAATACATTAATATAGAATGTTGCTACAATTTCATTGCTATATACGTAATTAATGTATATTTATTACATTTTCAGAATGTATCATAAATGGCCAAAGAGTTTGGGAAGGCCGTGATGTTCGGATACCAGAAGAGCCATGTTTATCGTGTCGATGTATGCGTGGTGCCTTATCCTGCACAAAGAAAGCTTGTCCAGTGCTTCCATGTGTTATTTCGCAGCAGTTTACTCCAATTGGGGAATGCTGTCCCCGATGTTCTCATCCAACAGCTGATAAAATTCTTCCAAGTAAGTTTTTGTGATCACATTAATAAATAAGGAAAAAATTAAATAAAAGAATTCGTAAAGATTTTTTGTTGTAAATAAAAATAATTTGAGCATTTAATTTAATATTTTGTCATATCCTTTACAGTTTCGGGATTTGCTCAGAAACCATGTATAATTGGAAAGGAATATCACCTCAATTCGATCCCATTTCGAGTGGATCCTTGTACGGACTGTATGTGCATGAATGGTACGGCGGTGTGTTCGCGTCACACATGCCCAGTGCTAACATGCGGAGCCCGTGCTTTACCACCGGCCCCGGGGAAATGCTGTCCTGAATGTCCACAAATTGAAGAAGCAAAAGAAGCATGTGTCATCGGTGGAAAAAAATATCAGGTATAAATAAGAAATTACGTATTTACTCTTGCACATAGATCGTTGTCTTGATTCAGACAAAAGAATTTAAAATTGAAGATTAAAACTGTGAATTTATAAATTTCAGGACGGAGAAACGTGGCAATTAGATGCTTGTAAATCCTGCGAGTGTCATGGAGGAGAACCACGTTGCGCCATGGAGCGATGCCCAGTATTAAGCTGCTCGCCGGATCAGATCCTTCGTCAGTTGCCGGGACAGTGCTGTTCGAAATGCGTCGATATCGACGGAATATGCACTGTATTTGGAGATCCACATTATAAAACATTCGATGGAAAATTTTATAGTTTTCAAGGATCTTGCAAATATCAATTGGTATCCGATTGCAAAAATCATACATTTTCAATCAGAATATCGAATGATTCCAGAAATACGTCACATTCCTCGTGGACACGTACTGCCACCCTTCGCATAGGGTCAACAAAAATCAATATGGGCAAAAAGATGCGTATCAAAGTTAATGGAAAGAGAATAAGTCTTCCACACATAGTAAAAGGAGTAGCTGAAATAGATCGCAGTAATGGATCGGTATTACTAAAATCCGATATTGGAGTGCAAATGTTGTGGGATGGAGATGGATTTTTGGAAGTTACCGTTTCAAGTTCGTATAAAGGCAAGCTCTGTGGTCTATGTGGTAATTTTAATTCTGTAGCTAGGGATGACATGAGAACTCGTGATGGAAGACTACTAAATGATACTTGGAAGTTCGGATCCTCTTGGCGGGTGGGAGGTCATCGAGCTTGTACAAGACGACAAGAAAGACCTTATGGAATTTCGAGATGTCGGCCGTCGAAACTTACTAAAGTCAGGCGTCTATGTCGAGCATTTGATCGCCACGATGCGTTCTCAGCTTGCAGTGCCAAAGTAAATCCCCACAATTATAAGGAAGCGTGTCTCCTAGACGCGTGTAGTTGTACGGGTGTTCGGTGTCACTGCGCTGCATATAGAGCTTATGCTAGAGAATGTTCACGTGTGGGAGCGGAACCTCAAAATTGGCTTCGCGCTGCATGGTGTGAAGGTCCCCCACCGCCTTGGCTCAATCGAAGCCGCAAAGGCTTCGGTCGTTCCACGAAGCCCAAAGACCAGAATTTCTTAGACGTGGGTCTCTTACCGAAACGAAATAATAGTCGTTCCCGGCCTCCACCCCCAATTCTACATTAATCTATATGCGGTAACACAATTACTAGTCAACCCTTCATGTCTAGAAGTGTGAGGTAAATATATAATTTAGTAATACCAATTTTTATTAATATGAAAAAATTTATGTGTTATTCTCTTTTCAGTATGTAACGGGATGAGTTGAAATTGGATATAACATGGATTGCTCCTAAAAGGAATGAAGATTTTAAGAATAAAGATCTATTTACATGAACAGTATTCATAAAGCTACTTGTAGTTAATTAAACGAGCTATTGTATATTACATTGTATAATCCACTTATAGCATACGTTTACCTCGCAACACGACCAGCATTGACGTTTATTGCTTTTTGTTTATAGTGATTTATTAATTATGTCTTGTTGCAAAATTAATACAAATTCACTGTTTTAAACTTACAATATCTTTCAACTTACAATATTTTATTTTAGACCGTGCTGGTCATATTTATTATGGCTAATAAAAAGTACCTCTTCTTAAAGTGGTAGAGGATTTTTTTATATAAAACATTGTATTCAAAACACTTGAACAAAATGTGATAATAGGCTTTGAATGTGACTTCAGAAGACGTTTGATAACGTAGTTCAAATAAAGATCTCATATGTAGATAGTTGTTTACAAAATATTAGATCTATCTGAAGCCAAGAAGCTAACGAGATTAAACGCATCTTGTAAATATTGATACGAAGTCTAATTCAACGTTGTCTCGGAGAATGGCTCGTTCTTTATAAATGAAATGTATACGTTGGGACGAGCGAATATTCCTAATATTAACAAATAATTTATGACTACATGATTCAATCTATTCCACTATACTTGTACGATTATTTAGTAATTTTATTATAAGACTTCACTTTTAATTTAGTTGTTATTTTGCGTTACCAATGAATTTTAATTTTGACTTTGAGTTATAAAGTTGCGCGTTATAACCCGCGTTGTGTGCTCTGCCCTATTTTTATGTCTTCACGAAAACAAACACAATGTGCCATTAAAACGTCTTGAGATCTTAAACTGACGCAGTTTAGATTTGCCAAATTTTATTAACTAGAATTTTATATACTTTCAAAGTTCAAAGTGCAATTAAGGTTACGGTTTCATGATATGTTTTTTTTTTATATTTTCCGTCTTATGCATTATATTATGTATTTTAACAATAAATATGTATCTCAGACCTATAATAAAAACTGTTGTTAAAAATAAACAAAATATAGTGCTAGTAAACGTTTTTAAATTACTGAATGTATGTAGCTTTTGCTAAAAATTAATAATACTAGGAAAATGATTAAACGATGGTCCAAAATTTTTCATCTATAGAATTTTGGTGATTTTTCACAAAATTTACAGAAATGAGTTTAAAGCGAATTGCTTATTATAGAACTGGTTTTCAAATTGCTATTTTGTATGTATCTAAATATTCTGAAATTTTATATAATTTTAATTTTTTTTTTTGGAAAGTGATGTTTATATAAATAATCCAATGTATTTTCTATTTATAACCACAATTTTTGATGTTAGCATTGTTTACTCTTTTTTTTTATGAAATTTTTATTTGCATTCCCGTTATCTTAATTTCTCATTATTTTATAGGGGTCTACGTTTTATGTAGGCTTTTAAGTAAGTTATTTGAAATTATATTATTTTAGAATAAGACAACAATTTTCGCCATATTAAAGATACATATTATTAATGTATGAAACAAATCGTTATTTTTCACTTTGAGCATTTCTTTCAGCGTAGGTGCTTTTTGTGTAACAATTGCTCTCTTAGTTTTTTTTTTATGTTTATTTAAATCACACTTTTACATACATGTTATGCTAGAATTTTATGATTATCTGTGTGAAAGATTTTGATGCACGAAATAATTACACGTTGATATCTTTAATAACTATTGTATACCACGTACTTAGTCTTTTAATAAACATATATTTATTGTAATCGATATAACAGCTTATAAAAGTAATTGAGACACGTCGCGAAGGCAGAAAAGAAAACATTCAACGATCAAAGATAAACCTAATAATAAATGAATTATACTAATTTAGTTCTTTTATTTATTGCTATAACATAAAAATGCTGTAGAGATGTTACATATATATTAATAGCAAGATAACATTCGATAGACCCATTACTTGGGTTTGGCTGTGATCCAAACTCTGGTATTTCATGCCATCAAAATAATCTAGGACAATTTGGCGTCCGATTTAAAAACAGAGAATTTATTATCATTGTCTTTGTATTTCGGTATTATTCAACTTTATCTGTAGTGAATTAAACATAATTTAGTATGGTAAAAGTTTTATTAAAGTAGAAGTAACATTAACATTATACAGTCACACACATTCGATAAATGTGAACCAAATATTATTTGTACAAAGAACAGCACTTTAGACTTTATGAACAAATCTTGTGAATATTTTATTTATTATATCCATTTACGGAGAGAGAACGAGTATGTGATACATAAATATATCCTTATATTAAAGTATAAAAAGCATTGTAATATATATTTATTCTCCAGTCATCATCTCCATGAACTCTGTAACAAATAAAAATACACATGTAATATATATATAAATGTAAATGAAAATAAAAGCAAAAAATTTTAAAAGGTTCTATAATACTTTTTTTTGTACAAACTTTCTTAAGGGGAAGCAATTAACATATTAAGGGGAAGCGATGTTTTTGAAATCTTTGAAGGACTCTAATGTCATATAAGGGTAATTGTATAGTTACCATCGAAGTCCACGGTGCCGCTGCCGTCAGTGTCAATTTCTTGGATGAGACCGTCCAATTCATCATCTGTGAGTTGTTCATCCAACTCTCGCAGGATCTCACGCAGGCTTGATGTAGGAATGTAACCATTGCCTGGTGTTAGAAACAGTTTAAACATATATGATAAAGAAAAAATATCGTTACATGTGTAGTATGACACAAAATCTGTAAGTCATTAGTTAAGTTTCATATCATTTTGTGGCCTATTTAACTGTAAGTAGCGACGTCAAGTTAAAAATAAATATTTTAAGCATAACGTACCTTCTTTGTCGTATAATCTGAATGCTTCCCTGAGTTCCTTTTGCATAGCTTCAGCGTCTTCTTCTACGATGAATTTGGCTGCCAGTGTTACGAATTCAGGGAACTCAAGACGACCAGACTCTATGAAATGAAACAGGAATTACTAAATATTAAGTACTGGACCCTGGTTTAGTGAAGTATTTAATATGAACCGTATATCAAATATCGTTTATAAAGGATGGATATTTCATATATAAACTTACTGTCAGCGTCTACTTCTTCGATGAGTTCCTCAAGGATCTTCTTGTTGAAGGGCTGTCCCATCATTCGAAGGATGTCAGCTACGAAGTCACATGGGATACTGCCCGAGCGGTTGTGGTCGAAGCCATCGAACGCTTTGCGAAGAACTGCAACAAATTTGCTCTAGTTAAGAAAACCAAGAGGTTACGTAATAAAATAGGTCATCATTAAATCAAATGCCGTTAGCACTCATACCCTCAACGTTAAGTCCACTCATGGCACAATTACTAATCCTTAATAAATGCTTGATATTAAAATTAAATACTAAAACTAGACTCTTGTCTTTCACCGGTAATTAAAGCAGTTGAACTGATCGTTAGCCCGGCTGCAGTGGGATTAGAACAGCAGTTCAATGCACCTAGATGCAGTGCGAATATGTTGTGCAATACAGCTATTTTGGTGCAGTAGTGTTGTGCATCAGACATGCGTCCTAAACCAGTGCTTATGTACGTAGACTTATAATTTTTAGAGATATCAAGAAATTTTACTAGAACGATTACATATTTTTGGACTCAGAATAATCATTTCTATGTTTTGATGTAATAAAACCATTGAACAAATTCCATGATTAGTATAGTAATAGATAATTAGAAGAGAAGTATAAGTAATTTGACCCATATAAATGACAAGTGTGGAGTATATACTTTTCTTATACTATTGTTGTATTATTAAATACTACTTATATATTATAAATGAAACAAATTTAAATGACAACTCTACAAGAGTCGTGTAGCCAGACGTGGCTGTTTCCTTTTTATATTTAGAAACTGGAACACCGGCTTTATATTAAAAATAGTGTGAAAGATGAAGGGAAATTAAATTATGAATATGAGTAATTTTATATCCCATGAAGGTTACATGACATACTCTGGCGAACGACGTTAGCAATAAAATTTTACAGTTATTTTCCTGTGTGTGCTATATTTCGGTATGTGCGTCATTATTTTACGTAAATTTAGAATAAGTTCAGTATTTACTTTACTGATATAAACTCTTTCGATGTTTTAATGATACAGATGAAAGATATATCGCGCTCATCTTTTACATTTTAAATACTTGACTCATTGAATTGACGTAACCCAAAGATACTTCTATTAGAAAAATGTATAATATTTAAATACTGATTAAAATCAACTATTAAGATGGCTATCAATCTTATATTTCATAAAAAAAGGTTTATTATTTTTGACAGTTCGCCAGTTTTTTTTCTTGGCAACAGATAAGACGTAAACATTTTGATAATTACACTTTTTTGTTGAATAAATATAAAATGGTAAATATGAATATAATATTTCTCCAAGAGATCGTAAAAATACATTTGGTTAATATGTGCTTAAATTTAAGGTAATCGATAATAATTACGAATACAATATATTGAAAATTCTGACTACATTTAATCTACAATTAATGAACACTAGTATAAACTGTTCACTATCAATAATAAATTACTATTATTATTTTAAAACTTCCAAAAAGTTTTTTTTTTTTAGTTAAATATATGTCACAGATTATACACATTTTTATTAATACCTTCAGGATGTTACATAAAATCCATGATTATAGAGTATAAGTGCACCTGTTCCATAATAGTTTGGCAGCTAGTTTTAAAAACACTTTTTTTTTATTTTCACCAGCTCAAAGTTGTTAATTTTAATCATCGAAATGTCTTGGCAGTTGTCTCAAAGACTATTGCGGTTTTATTGCTTTTTTTTTTCTAGATTTTAGCTATTTATTAATTATCTTCCTACGATCTCTCATGGTCTTTCGAAATGAGGGCATTGCGTCAGTTATGATATTTACAATTATCTATGTATCGCTATCTTAGATATTTTTATTTTTAATTTAATTACTTCCCTAATGACGATGGCAGTTTAATAAAAAAAAATACATTAACAAGCAGTTTTACAACGGTTGATATCTTAAAAGTTTTTAAACGGGCAGTTGAGGATCGAAGAGTATGAAGTTTATAAGCAGGCTAATTTATAAAGTTTTGCTAATTTTTGCTTTGAAGAGTTTAGTATCAAATAATTAGGTGTATATCTTTTATGCTCGTTTTGTAATGGAATTAAACATTACAGTGAACTCTACATCATTCGCGGTAAAATTTATATCTAAACTATATAAACTTCGTAGAAGCAAGTCGGTCTAATTGTATTATTTAATATTGTACAAATTATCTTCTCTATGTGTGAAGAGGCCTTTGTTTCAGCAAAGGGCTCTGATAGGTTAATGATGATGATGATTTGATGTACAAATTACAACTAAAATTTGTTTTTATATTCCAGTCTGTACACATATTGAGAAAAACTAAGGTATTTCAGAATTTTTGCAAGTCATTATACTTAGCTCAACTTTACATCGTCTCACAAGATACTAAGATGTACCCGTTTTTCAATAAATTATTATTAATATACTACAATCAGCAGGTAATTATGAAAAATAAATTACTTTTACGTTGTGATGACTTTAGCTTACAGTGGTTCATTCAAATGCAAACGTTTTTTTTAAATCTATTGCAATTTTAAAAAAATATACTATAATTTTATAATAAATTTTTGTAAATTCCCTTTTTTGATATTTTTTTTCTAGTTTTCGTGCTTTTATTTTAGGTCAAAACACGCCCATTGAGTGATTGTAACTCAGGTTATCGAAATTATATTATATTGAAATAAAAATAAACCAACAATCAAACGTCCAAGCGTCGTTGGCTTTACTCCAAGCGTTTCCATGTTAGCGGCTTTAACCGGCCGGCTTATGTTTTTCATAATAACAAACACCTAATGTTAACCGGTTACTTTATTTATGTTGAATAAACATAGAAACTAGAGAAAATAGTTATAGAAAGCTAAAATTAAATTTTAGTTTTTTCTTTTTAATATTAAAGTGAGTTTTGTCAATGACTACGGTGCTACTGGCAAGATCAATCGGGCTTACAGAAGAGAAACACAATCTAAATCAGACAGCGATATTTCACGAGGCATTAAATATAAATAAAAATATATTCTATTTGAAGAATTTTAGATTAATAAAATATATAATAACCCATCTTTAAAAAAAAAATTCTAACAGATGTTCCACATAATTCACTCTTGTTTGAAGTGATTTCGTATAAACTTTATTTATAAATATGTTTTTGTAAAGGGCAGCGGAATATGTTAGTAGCCGTCAATCAGCGAGCCGACAGTTGGTCTATCTGTTTCTTTACGAGTCGCGTGTCGTTTTCAGCGAGAGAATTAAGTTTCAGTGTTTTTCACAAATCATCCTGTCACTATATTAACGGTGATAAAACGGGAATTTTAATTTTTGTTAAAATTAAACAAAATATATGAGATTTTAAGCTTTCATAATTTTACGTATTTAATATATATATATAATCTAGTTTCTATTAATAAATATTATTACGAAACTTTTCAACATTAAATGGATTCTCAGTGCGGGTGCCGAGTCCATCGCGTTTCATGGAGAGAAGCTCAACAGTGACTGAGACTTGCGATCCAGGTGTAGGTTTAAATAGCCCCTATCTAACGCGCGTTAATTGCTCACTTCCACCGTACAAGCTCCTCTTTGTACCAAACTAATTTTGAAACGAACCTAGTAGGGCTACCTCCAAAGTATGTTCTACGAATGAATTAATATTAGTTCTGGAGAGGCCTAAGTCTTTTAGTTGTTTTGTAGAGAGATTAGCTGTTAAACCATCATCTCCCACTTCTAGAAGTAATATTTCATGAAGGAATTATTCATGTTTTTTTGTAATAAAACTGTAGTCTAAAAATCAATTGTATTTAAATTATTTAGAGTGTCTTTTATAATTTATATTAATTTAATTTAACTGTCGTATAACTTTTATACTAACAGTGGTATCGTAAAAATAAACAAATTTAAATTTTCCATTAGACTAATCAATATTTTTTATGATGAATATTATCAATGATTCTATAAAATTTATAAATAAATATAAAACCGTATGATTTTTTAATTCTAAATTCAAAGTAAAACAATTAATTGTTTTAAAATCAAACACAATTGTACAGGTTTAAGTCAACCGGTTAATCTTAATAAATTAATTTAATTTAATTAATTAAACCGGTTTCTTAATAAATAAGTCTATTATTTTCTATGAACGTAACTAACCCTACTTTTTTAGTTAATCGGAACTACTATCATTGTTTTAAGTACCAGCCACGCCCAATTTCAGTTGTTTCAAAAGTTATTTCTGTGTCATTAATTAAACCCACACACCATTTTGGAGGAACATATTTATTACACGGTGCCCGTGTCCGTTAAATTTATGAAGTCAGGCCTCCATCGTGTTCCTGGCTCAAAGCCAATAGAAAATTTGAGATTTTTCTTTATTTAAGAAAGTAAACATTATGAGATGCTATCATATGATATGTTAATACTGTATTATTTATATATAATTCTGAAATTATATACGTGTGTAAATCATTTTCGAAGGGTTTATTATGTAAATGTGTAATAGAAATTTAAAAATAAATTAATTGTTTTAAAATTATTTGTTTCTACGATATCTATTTCTGTAATACCATAAATTAAATAAAATTTATTTAGTTTCAGTCTTCAGAAATATTTTATTTATTTAAAAGAAGAATTAAGCATATTTCAGGTTTTTAGGTTTTGGTTATAAGAAATTAGATTAACTTTAATAAATTCTTTACTTACCGGCAATTTGTTCTGCTGGGAGCTCATCAGCCTGGAGAAAGAGAAAATAAGAGTTAAAAATGATATTGTTTGTATCTTAAATTAAACACGAATACTCGAAAACATTTCTATATTAAACAATTACAAAGTATATTAATTACTGCAAAAGTGATAACTTAAAACTTTCTCACCATATAAAGGTACAAGATTTTGTTAATATGAATTTTCATTTAAATGAAACTAATATTTATATACTACGGGGATTATTTTTGTGAAAAACTACATATTCATGACGTTTCGGCTACTTTTCAGCAACCGTGGTCACTGTTGCTGAAATATCCGAGGAATATTAATTTAATTTAAATCAATCAAACTTGCGAAAGTCTTAGATCTCGTTATGAATTTTCATTTTAACTGAAAATTTTACTGACGTAAATATTAAGAGGCTTTTTTAAAAATATTCGTCATAAACTAAATTAATTTACACAATGAATATTTATATATGAAGAACTTATTTTTGTATTGTTTTTACAATAGTGGATAACGAAATTTTCTACA